ATTATTATTCATAATAATCAAAATAAAAAAATTTAAATAAAATTTTTAAAAAGTGGAGCATTGCACTTGTATTTGAGTTTTAGATTTGGCCTCTTTTGAGAATTAGTATTTTTTAGCATTATTTCAATTTCTTTTTATATATTTTCAAATACAGGAAGACTTCATTACATTTAAATTATCAGTAGCACATGATACTCTCATTGTCTGTCCATGATAAATGTTGCTGTTATCTATGAGACAGCCATTTATTTAAAAAGTTATCATTGGGATTTTGTTAAAGTCAAAGATACGATGTATTTTACCAAATAAGACTAAATGGTTTTGATTTTAGAAAAAATGCAGAAGCACCAGTTTAATTCTCATCCCAATAAGCATTTTTTTGCATTCTACAGCTAAAATACATAACAGGTTTTAAAACTTAATGGCTTATATTACCTTTTATTATCACTATTCATGATTTTTATTGAGTCTTGGCAGAAATGCATAATGGATTATCTCTAACCTCTTTTTGCTTCCTGTGTAGCAAAGGACGGGTTTACAAACATCCATGGAAGTGAATTGGGCATTAGGAAAAGCAGAAAAGGAATATCTCCTAGGCTTCTGAGTAGCAGGAACTTGCAACTCTGCCACTTACATGTAAGACTAATGCTGTAGGGAGTAACCTTATTACAGATATTTCACCCACCCCACCCACCTAATTTGCATTAACTGTTATTGGATAAATTCTTTAATGGACAATGTGCTTTAACTGAATTAAATCAGCATATAACCAGTGTGTGTGTGTATGTGTGTGTATGTGTGTGTGTGTGTGTTATTAAAAACATTAGTAGTGATAGACTAACCAACTAACAACAATTAACAACTCAAAAACTTTAATAAATGGGACACACTATACTCAAATTTAAGCTGAAAAAAGAGAGAGAGAAAATTATTCCCACAGTTAGGAATAACTTTCATGGAGAGGCAGGAATGCAAAGTTAAGTAGTCTGTATAAAGAAGATGGATGGGTGGAATTAGTGTGGAAAAAAAGAGTAACATGTTCCAACTCCATTTTATTCACACTTATTAGAAAAATACACAATTGAGAAAAAGTCTAGGGCAGAGGCCATAAAGAGCTACAGGGACACAGACTGGCCAGGGAGGCAGAGATGCCTACAACCCACCTGATAGAGAGATTTTAGTAGTGGAAATGAAGAGATAAAAGTTGGCATTATGTAGTGACTACTATGTGTCAAGAAAAGAAGAAAACATGTGTTTGTTCCTCTATATATCTCGATAGTGAATATCTGCACATTATGTCCTGATATGATTTCTATAAGGCAGGCATTATCAACTTTAATTTACAATTAGAAAAATCAGACTTGGAGAGTTAAGAAACTAATGGGCATACAAGAAGAAAGAAGCATAGCCAGACTGAGGTCTACATATATTGGATGCTCTTCCCATTTTCCATATGGAGACACCAACAGGGATAATAGAAGCATATCAGTGAAACTTATGATATATTTGAATGCAGAAGTAAGACAGGCAGAAAATTGACCATTTTCCATAAGTATTTAATGTTTGAACTGACTCATTTCTCCCTCAATTTCTACTCATAGAATCAGGGGTAAAATTTAAATCAATTGTATTCCTTTGTGTTTCCCCAAGAGTTCCTCCCCACACAAAAATTAATTTTAAAAAATGTTGCTCAGTATTTATTGGTTGAATAAGTGGATACATCTACTTGGCTACAGTACAAGATATATTCAGGAATAGGTTATCTGTGGCTTCATTTTAAAGATACTGGAGAAACACTTCTTCCAAAAAGAACCTTACCACATATTCCCTTCCTAGGACTTAAAATTCCACAATTAGACATGCATATGGTTTTTAATTAGAACGTAAATACTCAAGCAATTCCATTTACAATTTTTCCCCAGAAAACTGTTTTCCATCTCTGGAAGGCAGAGAGGAGGCATAAAGATATAGAGGAGCTGTGGGGAGAAGAGAAAGAGGTGGGATGACCAAGACCTTGTCATTCTACTTACAGCATATTCTGATACACCACTTCATAAAAGAACACTGTGGGAGAAATGACTACTAACTGAAGGCATTATATTTGTAAGACCAACAAGGTTGAAATTTTCCAACTGGTCAGTTACATGAAAGCAAAAGTGGTGAAAGGACCTGAAGGGTCAGTGCTTACATCTGCTGTCTACACTGTGGTATTTCACCTTCATCCCTAATGCTGCCTCTTTATGTTGCATAAATAATGTGACTTCTCATTCTGCCACTTTCTGTGTGGAAATTACTTATACCTGAGGGGCAAAAAAGCAATTCTCCATCTAATTCATTTTGCCAATTTGACAGTGACATCAAAGAGCAGGAAGTTGTCTGTGAGTAATGACACTGCTCATTTGTTTAAATGTCAAACCTAAACCTCATCAACTTTCAGGGAGTATGTCAATAAAGAATGGGTTTCAGTTCAGTCAGAAAGGATTTCAGTGTTGTTCAGTTCTAAGGAAAATAGCTGTCAGTTTCTTGAGAGCAGAGTGCTTTGAGTAACTCTTTCTTTTTTAAGCTGAATTTAATAGACCATTTCAGCACTTGGGACTGTGGACAGTGCTATCTTCCTTGACATGAAACAAGTAGGCTTGCCACAGAGGTGTTTCATTCTTGAAACTAAAACTCCCCAGGTTAGCAAGCATGTATTACTAAACTATGCAATTAGGATATAAGACTATGTATTACAAGGTCTGTGCAGAGGCAAAAAAATGAAATAACCGTAAAAAATAGCACATTTTATCACAAAGATTATGCCTGAAATAAAATTAGGGAAGGCAAATAGTTATGGTTTATAGCTATTACTACAAAAAAAAGTGTCATTTTTTACTTCAAAGCAATCACATTTTTCTCAAGACAAGTTTTTGGTGGATAGAATGGCAGGGCCATTAACCCCTCATGGTAATTTATTGGCAGTGGGCATGGATGCAGAGGATAACAAGAATGCATCTAACAGGCTTGCAGACAATCAGGATCAGAGAATTCATTCTCTATATGCTTTCTAGCTCTAGAGTGGAATAACAATGGAAAATTCTGGATCTGAGGTCAGAAGAAATGGAACTGAATTTCAATCATGTCCCTTATTAAGTCATTTCATTTCTCCAGACCCTGTTTCTTCTTCTTTAGAATGTGGCTTATTTTAATGTTTAAGTGAGAGAATGTATGTGAAAGGGTATGGCACACAGTAGGTACTCAATATATGCTTAAGTTTGATTATTCATGTTTCAGTAAGTGTTGGCATAATGCAGCAAAATATTGCTATGCCAGTAGCCATGAGTCTTAATAGCTGTGACCTTAAGGAGGGATGACAAGAAGAAACAAGCAAAAAAGGCATCATTATCAACAGATTAAGCCTTATAACAAGAGCCCTCATCTTGTATATTTCCACTTTCATCTACTTTTTCAGCAACCCAAGAAGACTCCTTTTATTTTTACTTTTAAGAAAAACCAACGAAAGGAAAATAGCCTAAAAATACTACAGAAATAGTAAACTAAAGTTCTCAGAGGTTTCTTGTCTCATCAACTAATATTCTACTAACTCTCTGGAGAATTCCTCTCATTCACATGCTATCAGCTATTCAGTCTGCTGAATTGGTGAGAGACTACTTTGACTACTCCCTGCCCAGACCAACACACTTAGGAGACAAGGTAAAAACCGGGTTAGTTCTTTATGGTTTTCCACCGTAGCTACAGATTCTTTCTTTGCTTTTGACTTCCAACCCTCCCAGGCTCACCTCACCTCCCTCACCTTCTTCCCTTTTTCTCACTGAAAATCAAGAACAACATCTTTTCCTAGCCTCCCACAGCTCCTCCTGTCGCTTTCAACAGAGACTTCCTCCACACTGCCCTCTGCATGTGAAAAGCCTCCCAGCCTCCCAGCTTCCCACTCTCCATTCATCAAGGTTCACTCTTCTTCCATTCACAATTCATTTTAAGTTGTCCCGTGCCTTCCAAAGCTCCTTTTTCTTGATGTAGGTTCCCCTCTTGCTCTAATAATACTCCACCGTCACAGTCACCATAGAGCCACCTCACCCCCTCCTCAACCCCCAGAAATTGGGGGGAAGGGGGAGGGGCGGGGAAACCTGTGTTTACATACAGATCCAGACAGGGAGGAATAGAGCCTAGCATTAAACTTAATCTCATTTTTGAAAAAGAAAAAAAAAAAAAAAACCAGTTGATACAAATATTTCCAGAGCTTGGAAACCCGCACGCTTTGAAAAAAAAAAAAAATCTAGCTGAATGGATGAATGAATGAATGAATGAATGGATGGATGGATGGATGATTGAGATCTCTGTGGTACTTTTCTCAGATGCCCCTCCTTCTTCCTGCTCCTGGCATGGTTCCTGTTTAACTCAGCGTCGGTGAGGGAGTGCACTTCCCTGCTTTGCCTCTGTCTCCACTCCCTGCCCCTTCAGTACAACCTCTTGACGGGAGCCTAAACCTCCTCGCCAAAGGGCATGCCACCTGGCTCACCGACGCTTTGTGACTTCAGCAGCCTCACAGAGCTTGCTCCTTTAGGGGCGCAGCAGCTTTGCATTCTGCCGGCTCTGCCTCTCCCCAGACCCCCTGAAACACCCAGCCGCGTTGCACAAAAGGATGACTGATTCCCCCACACTCAGTGAAATCCACCTGGTGATCCCAGTGGCTGCCTCTTTCCTTGCGCTTGTAAACCTAGGTGCTCAAAAAAAAAAAAAAAAGAAAAGAAAAAGAAAAAAGAAACCTGGTTTCCCTCTTCTCCATGCAGAAAAAAGAAATAACCATTCCAGGGCTCCGTCCTGGTTCATAAAATCAGAAAACTTTTTTTATATTCATTGTATTAGAAAACCCCACCCGAGACAGCAGGGACCTCTTTGTTTGCATCCCAAGGGGAGGGAGGGGTTTTTGGAGAGCCTTCGCAGCCTGGGGCAGGGGGGAAGTGACAGCCCCTGGGAGGGCTGCCCCGGAGGAGACTCACCCAGGACGTTCCCAATGAGAGCCACGACGAACACGATGATGTACCCTGCGATCAGGACCCACTCATATTCTTTCGGGTGCAGGTATTCCCTCCACAGGTACCGCAGGAATTCCTCGTCGTCATAGTCGGTGGGGTTTAAAAAGGGCTCTTGAGTTTCATTGAGCTCCGAAGCAGATGACCAGTTGTTGCGACAAGGGGGGGAGTCCTCCAGTTTGGTGCCGGACATCCCTGGGCTCCAGTCCGGTTCCGCTCAGTGCTGCAAGCTCCTCTTCGCCTGCCCCATGAGCACTGGTGTGGCTCGCGGGTGGGAAACGCTGCGCGGAGAGGCGGCAAGGGGCTCCACGGCAGAAAATGACGTGAAAAGTTACTGAGCCAATGCCTCCGGAGGAGTGGAACGCCCGGCAACTTCTGCGGCGGCTTAGCTGTCTTTGCAGGAAATTCTGCACGGAGGAGAGAACTGGCGGCTGAGAAACTAGCGACCGGGCACTGGAGGCTGCAGCAATGACACCGGAGGAGAGAGCTACCTCAGGCTTAGCTCAAGCTCAATTACTCCTCATTCCAGCACTGAGTCCGCAGCCCACAGCCTCCTCCCTCGCTGAGGGAGAGCTGAAACTGAAGGAAAAAAAAAAAAAAGTAATGAAAATTAATTTAACCTGTTTTTTGTGGGTTCACTCTCTTTTTCTACTTTTTTTTCCCCCTCTATTTTCAACGTGCAGTTTCTATAAACCATACCCAGACATGTAAGTCTGTGGGCATGGCCAAAAAAAAAAAAAAAAAAAAAAAAGGTCAACACAGGGTTAATACAGGACGTGATGCATTTGTCTTTGTAATGCAAATATAAAAATGTAAGGAGGAGCCACTGTGTTCCCCAAGCAGGACAATACAAAAGTCATTTCAGGCAAATATTCTAACATTTGATATAAATGTATTTTAACATTTAATATTTGCCAACTTAGCACTTCCCGAGTCTCTAAGGCAACTCCTAACTCCTCTTCTCAAAATTGGGGAATGAGACCTTTTTTTTTTTTTTTTTAATACACCCATTTTGATGGGTCTATTTAGCTGGAATTTGTATTTGTAACAGAAACTGCCCTATGAAATACAGCAGGAAATCCTTGAAGGACACGAAGAATCATGAATGCTGTCACAGTTAATGTTGTCAAGCAACAGAGACCGCTAATATATTAAACAGATTCTCTGTAGGATGTGATAATACAAGCAGAAGTGCTCTTTCTGGTGAATAACACATCTCATTGGTCTTTCTTCTCATTGATTCCGGCTGATGTCACCTGCCATTCTCTCATGAATTGTTTTGGTCTCTGAGACTAAGTATTCTGGGATTTGTCAGCATATGAGTTCATGATCCTTTCATTCTTAATAACCATGGCAGAAATATTGCATCTGATTATTTACAATCTTGGATTTGGGAAGGGACTGGGAATCATCTAGCTTGAACTTCAAATTAATAATAGAAGCCTCCTGATAACATTGCTGCCATGTCCACATCCAGCTTGGATATAACCACCGCAATTCACTACCATCACCATGACAGGACCTCTCTAAAGGTGAGAAAACCCATTCCTTACCTGATTAAACCAAGGCTTCAAACCCATGAGTTGCCTTCCTGAGACTATTATCACAAATCCCTAGCTGCCTCTTGGTGCTACACAGAATAAGTCTTCTACATGTCAATCCTTCACATGTCCAAAATAAGCATCATAGCCCCAATCCTCCTTTTCATGCTCCCTATGTTCAATTTTTCCCCAATTTCTTCCGTTGTTTTTCAAATGACACTATACTCCACATCAATATTCACTTGGTTTTCCTTTAGACAATTGTCAATATCTTGCAAAATATACAACTGAGAGGAAATACAGTAATCTGCTTTGGGTCTTGTTAGTACAAAAGGTACATTGTTCTTTGGATGGAACCAATATTTGTATCTAATTATTTCTTAATAATACTTTATGGTTTATAAAATTCTTTGATATACATTATTTTAAAACTCTTGAAGGTTTGGCTATTATTAACCCCATTTTACAGATAAGGAGACTATTCTGGAAGAAATTAAATGATTTACCAAAGATTAAGTGATTAATGAGTAGCAAAACCATCTAGTTCTTTCTTCTGATTGCAATCCAGTACTTCTGTTATTCTACAGAGGTCATGTTTCATTAAGAAATACTACTGGCATATTTTCCCAATCAGTAGTAGTTAAATTTCTTTTTAAGAGAAATTTCTTTTTGAGAGAAATTTCTTTTTAAGGGCACAAATGGACATTTTATTTTGTCTTTTTACCAAATACTTACTGAGTGCTCTTATCCTACTCTTAGTGATACAAGTTAAACAGGTTTTTGTTTTTCGTGCATTTTACTTTCTAGGAAGTTACATAGGAAACAAATCAAAAAATAAATATATAAAAATATTAGGAATGAATAAATGTTATGCTGAAAAGCAAACAGGGTGAAATGATGGTGAGTACAGAATCCCAAAGGCCATATTAGAAACGAGTGGTGAACAAGGCCTCTGTGAAGAGATCATATATAAGTAGGATCCCAAAATAATACATGCATTTATTAATTTAATTTTGTTAATTTGAAGCTTATACAGATCTTCTTAAATGTTAATGCTGTTATCCAAAGCATTAGCCATTTCTCCAGACCTGTTGTCACCAGTAAATTTAACAAGTAAACTTTCTATGGCTCCATTCAAGTTCATTGATACAAATCTGCTAACTTTATGCTGTGATATAATGTCTTCCTCTGACTTATTAATACCTGCATTTTCCTCTTCCAAGGACTACTTTTTTTCAAAATGAGAAAAGGTTATTTGCAACTTTAGCTCAGATCTATATTCATTAATGTCTGCAAATTCCTTGTAGTTGGCAATCCATAAATATGGACCCAGTCTGATATTTGCTCAGCAGTCAGTGCCATTGGCTTTCATTTTGTGGCACTTCAACTTGTCTATACCTCAATCTTCTTTTTTTTTTTTTTTGCTTCTACTTGCAATTAATTGCAATTAATTACTACTCTTTGTTGAAATTCTAAATAAGGAAAAATGAGAATACTTTCAAAATTTTATTCTGATATCTGCTTTTGTTGTGACAAGTCTGGATTTATCTTGATCCTATAACTATTTAATTTTCTTCTATCTATGAATTATCAGGTACTTTATTTTAAATATGTGGTACTCCAATGCCATACAAAAATTTTGCTCGAATCTTCTAGTTATTATTTGTTTATTTTTTGGATACACATTAGAAATGATAAATATCATAATATTCATTTTTGCTGTGATCTACTTCCTTAGCTCTTTCGACATATTTTAAGACATTAGAAAAGAATTTATAGTTTTGGGGAATTATTATTGTCTTCAATTCAAAATCTTTTTACTGGATGCAGGAAAAACGTGTCAACCCATATATCACAGGGCACTAAAGAGAGCTCTAAATTTGTCCTGTGATATCCTCTTAAAGATGTTATAAGAAATAAAAGAATTGATGGTTTTAGAATAGTACCTGGTAGATAGAAAGCAATAAAAAAATATTTGCTAAACAATGTTTAAATATATATGCTCTCCTAGTGTGAATATTATTCGCTATACATATCAATTACTCTGTTAATAGTTTTTTTTTAAAAAAAAGAAAGGTAGCTCACAATATTTTGAATAATTCTATTTAACTACCTAGCTAAATTTTTTCTGCAACTTTCATTTTAGCTCTCCCACTAAACTGAATATATTAAAAATAGAGGGAAAAATAAAAATAACTTTCAAAAACCAAATTTCTTTCTTTCTTAGTGGTTATAGCTAGATCAGTCAGACTTGTATGAGCCGTCCCAGATTTTATTTTCTTATTCCTGGTGAGAGACCACCCTTTTTGCAGGCCTATAATAACTTTTTGGATGCATTTTAATAAACATTTCTGGGTATTTACTATGTGCCCAGGAGTTCAGCTAGAAGCTGGAGATATCAAGATCAATAAGGCTAGGCTAGCCTCAATGATCTCCTTGTCCATTGGCAAATTGGAAATGTTATGATTATTAAATAAGTTTGTGAGTTTCTAGGGTAGAGAGATGTGCAAAGTGGCATGAAAGCATGAAGGCATGCCTCATTCAGCCTGGAGAAAACCAGAATAGATGACTTCACCACAGGGAAAGTCACTTTTGAGCTGAGTGACTATTGGAAAACTTAAGGGTTTGAATAGACACCTTCAAGAACGTAGGCATCTTGTTTTTATTACTTCTTTGAGGAAGGCTGACCATAAGGTAATAGTAAGTTTAAAGTTAATTTCTGTGTTTCTCGGTGTATTTTGAAGAAAGAAACAGAAAAATGCTCCACTGTTGACTTCCTGATATTTGAAAAGAATTTGCTTTCCTTCCTTATTTTCTGTTAGAATGAAAATAAAATCAAGTCTGAGCACTCTTGGTAATGACTGTACTGAGCTTATGTATTCCCAAAATAAATGCATTAGCTTTGCAGGAAGTTATCTGACATCTCCAGGCTCCAAACACAACATTTTTTAACAAAATGGCCTTGAGCTAAAATCCTTCTGGAAAAGTCCTGAATCACCAGGGGTCTAGAAATCCAATAAAAGGGAGAGGGGACTCCTGATAACATGTGTTACTCTCAGGATGCACAGTGGGCTTCTGAGAATGAAATAACCTCATGGCCTAAAACACTAGGCCAAAGATAATCAAACCCACTTGTCACAAATTACTACAAAACATTTCTGTCTCTTTTTCCCCCTATCTTTCTTTCTATCCCCCTCCCACACCCTATTTTAATTATGTTTTTATTATGTCTCATCTCAGACAAGGTTCTGTTTGTTCCTTCTTGCCTCTTGTCCCAGATTATTAGTTCTGATATTTCTCCCTGATGGTTCTTTTATTCGACAAATACATATGAAGCTCTACATTCCTATCCTCTGTTGAGCATAGACAGACACTGTTCTGTCTTGTTCACTTTTTGCTTCATGAAAAGTGTAGAGGGGTGGGCAAGTAATTTAATTCAGTAAAGCAAATGCTCTTAGGTATATACCTAAAAAGTTCTGAAAATGCAAGTAGAAGAGACATGTATTGCAGCACAGCGGCATCAGTAAAGCTTTTTGGAGCAAGTATTGTCTAAGCTGATAATGGAAGAATAAAGCCCGGTAACCAGATTATGGGAAGCGGGAGAGGCAGTTGGTGACAGATGGAAGTAACTTCTTTGGAAAACAAGTCAAGACAGCACTCATCAAGTGATTACAGGGTCCAAGCTCTATACCAAACACTAGCTCAATTGACTTTCACAACTCTAGGAGGTAGGTTTCATTAATTATTATTCCAATTTTAAAGGTGAGGAAACTGAGATACAGAGAGGATAAGTAACTTGCCAAAGGTCATATGGTTAGGAAGTGACAGGATCTTTGGGCAGAGCTGTCAAGATCCAATTCCAGAAATATGTTTTTTGCCATTACTCTTCTGTGTTCACAGTAAAGAATCAAAAAGTTTTCAGTATTTTCCCC